CATCCATCCATCCATCCATCCATCCATCCATCCATCCATCCATCCTTATTTTTTGTATCAAAACAATATTTAATCCTACTTTTTTTAATTAAAGGTATAAACTAAAAATACAAACTGAAGGAAAAAAATAAAAAAATCTATCTTATATTTTATAGTTATCAATAGTCACTGGTTTGCCAATGAATTCACTATTATAATATGAACAATACAATATATTATTGTAAGATATCACAATCTCTGCCATAATAACACATATTGCTGCATCCTTTGATTAGTAGAAAGTGTTGCCTTTTCCAAAATAGATCACACATTTTGGGCAAACATTCCTTGACATCTGGAATAATATCACTTTTCCAATTTATTAATATAATTCTTTATGCCACCCCTCCCATGCTTGATACAACCATAATTCCTGATAAATAGTCAAATTCCAAAGCATTGGTATATAATTTAAAGATTTTCCTATAAATCTTCTAATACACATTAATACACTATCCCAAAAAGATACTAAATGATGGCATGCCCATATCATATGGGTCAGTGAGCACTCAAATTTCTTACATCTCCAGCATAAACAATCTGATGTCTATCCTTTCAACTTTGATCATATTTTAACATATTAAGAATCATTCCTTCCTTCCCTTGTTGGTAATGTTGGAAGATGGAATTATGGGACCTAAATTCCAGTACATCTGAAGAGTACCAGTTTATGAAAAACAAAATCTGAATTAGAACTAATATGAGGTCCTTTGAAATTATCATATTACTAAGGACTGTTGGAAGAAGGTAGCCAAGGATGATACCAGCTGGAGCTTTGCCTCATGGTGGGAAACAGTCACTTTGTGGTTTCCAAATTTTGGCTGGTTAAAAACCCTAGTAGGCACCATCTTTCTGTTGATAATAATTTGTATTTGTCAATATTGTTGTTTTCAGTGTCTAGGTCTATTATGTATACTAGCTTTCTGAAGTTTTGCAAATCTTGTGCTGCTAAACTCACTATGCTTACACAAATGGAAATTCAGGAAAGTAAGCAGAAAATTGATGATAAATATAAAGGAAAGGTGAGCCTTTGAAAGAAGTTTCTTTAAAGGCTCAAAGGGGGGAGTGTTGGAAATTAGTTATTAGAAAGCTGAACTAACACCATTTTAGAAGGGAAGCTACTGTTTCACCATTATAGAGAAACAAGAGGGTTATGTAGACAGATAAGGAAGGAATGAGAAGAAACCGTTACACTTCTGACAACAGAGATAAGGTGTACCAAGTAGAAAGTGAGAAATCGGGCTATAATTTATTTGGAAAATTAAACTTGAGAATTTTAGAAATAGGCATGCAGAAACTAGTTGTTTATACCTGACTATAAAAGGGTGTTGTTCCCCTTCCATGGGGCTGGCCACATTCAATGCTCTTGCCTTGTGTGCTAAATAAATTTTTGAACTCTGAACTACAGCATCTGGTGTTTGACCTCAGCAAGGAATGAACCATAGGGAAGAAATTCTTCTAACAGGTTCACACCTTAGGAGCAGGATAAGAAATTGAAAGTTGCTCTATAAAGGGAAAATTAAAGAAACAACAGTTAACAAAGATATTCATGCCATACTTAGCTTGATATGTATTTGCTTTCTCTTCTTTCAAGAATAAATTGAAACTGGTACTGTATACTCAAAGGTGAATCCTACTTTCCCATGAAATTAACATTTTAAAGGTTTAAGTGTGTACCCCAAAATAAAGGAGCCAACATCACAGGGTTATCACAATTCAACAGTATTAAATAAATTAGAGAATAAAAGGCTTTTCCAGGAATGAAAATGTTGTCCAAAGGAAGAGAACAAAAAGAAATGCAAACTTACATTTTTTAAAAAGAGGCTAACATGGGTATGCAACTCGTCCCAGCCCTA